ATCATGTAACTTTTTCTGATTTGGATCTCAGATGTTCCACAAGGAAACAGTCGTACTGAAAAGGTACATCAAAGGGCAGCAGGATGACTAACTATGGAAGAATTTACATACGAGGTATGGCTGAGGATGGTATGAGTAGAGTAGAATAGAGGTCTTCAGCCTCAAAAGACAGATGACTGAGAACAGTATGGTGTAGATGTCTGTAAAATCGTGGAAGGGTGGATATGGTGAATAAGAAATTATTATTGTCTCTTCTAGTGCAAGAAGTAGGGAGTATTGAATGAAGCTGGCTGGTAGCAAATTCAAAACAAGGTATTTTTTGATGTAACTTAAATATGGAACTTTGACACAGCATCTTGTGGAAGCTTAAATTTTGTGCAGGTTCAAAAAACAACTGGAAAAATACTTTGAAGGTTATGTTATGAATAAGACATCATCTCTGGGTCAAGAAATCCCTGAACTACAAATAGCTAGAGGCTGGCAGAATATTTCTGAGGAAGTGTCCCTGTGTGTGCGCGCCTTGTTCTCAGGCTTCCTTAGACTTACGCTCTTGGGCACTGTTGTTCAGAATTTGGGACTATATGGAGCCTCTGGTTTGATCTGATGTGACCTTTCCCAAGTGATGTGCCTCATTCTTCCTTGTTTGTAATCTGCAGAATCGATAAATGAATATTTAGAGATGGTGTCAGTTCAAAACTGTTGGAAGCTTTTGGGATCCTGTAAAGGATTCACTTTTCTGTAATTTTAATATTTTCAGCAAGCTTGCTGACTTCATCACTGTTTGGTATATAAGTATATAATAAGGGAGCAGCAAGCTGAATTCTTTTTAAAGCATCAATACTGCTCAACTGGGCAGACTATACAAATGGGTATTTTTAATATCTCTTAATTGCAGGAATGTTGAAGAAGACCAAAGAATGTCTGTCTTAAATACTGAAAAATACTATAAAGTGGAACGAGTTAGGTAAATGTAGGCCTGTGTGCTTGATGTCAATCCTAGAAAAAAGAATGGAAAGGCTAATACAGGATTTGATTCATTTAGATTTAAAATGCAAAGGCAGGCCTTGATGGACCTAAAGGTTGGTCAAGGACCAGCAGCATCACAACCAAAAGAGAAGGATGAGCTGAACAGATATAAGTCGAGGCTGTGGGGGGCTGCAGGTTTTGAGTTACCAGAAGCACCCAGTTACATCTGCTGTAACAAAGCTTCCTTCTCTGCACGTGCTTCTTTGCCATATCAGGCCTCTTCACAAAGCAGTTTCTATCTGCCATAAGCGTATAAGCCCTCGTGTTTTTAAGCCAGAGTTTGTATTGATAGAGGGCTGAATGTCTGGCACTGTGCATTTTCTCCCGTAGCTATAAACTGGTTTTGCCTGACCTGGCTCTGCCTGTTTATTCCACAACAAAAGGGTATGAATATAACTCATATTGGTCAGTTTGGCTTTCTGGAAGATGTCTCTTTGCGTTTGGTTGAAAATACTGTGTAATATTACCTGCATGCATTTACAGTGCAAAAGGTCCTGAAGTGTTTTAGTGCCTTTTTTTCTCATTAGAATAACTCTTGGAGGTGGGGGATTATTTATTGAAGGGGTTTGAGAGAGATGCAAATAGCTGTGGCGAGTTTTCTGTTCATCTGTAATTCAAGTGAAATACACATATTGGGCCAGTGATTTAACTGCTAGGAGCAGAAGTTCTTGATTTCACACCTTACTTTCTATTAGATTATGTAAATTGTATTTCTTAAAAAAAAAAAAAAAGGTGGAAGTGTAGAAGTATCTCATGTTTTACTTTTAATATAATAGTCTTGAGCAGACATGGAAGTGAATACAGAAGATAGGCCCACATATTGCCAAACTGTTGGCCTACACATCTGTACTGCTGCTTATTGATTTGTTTTAGCCAGAAGGTGCAGTTTGGACTTTTGGCCTGTGTCTAATTTGCATTATTTCTAAAAGGCTTATTAAACCATGCTATGCTACTTTACTGTTTGTTATCTATTGAATTAGTTGGGAAGGGGGTCCCATTTGTATATACTGTGCGTGATACTTTGCTGAGCAGATGTACTCTCTTTACCCAATTGACTGTAGTTATTTTGTGATACGGTTTACTCATTTCACATAGAAAAGCAACTTAATAAAGAGAGGAAATGAAAGGATATCCATGTCAAATGCTTAGTGATCCTTGAAAAACTGATTATGATAAAGGTGCAAAATAAGTATCTACTCACTGCTTTCAGGTGAGGTGATTTTACATAATTACACATTTTGGAAACATCCTGTAATATTTCTGGTTGCAAAGAGGTTTAAGTTTTGGAACTTGGTAATGAACTTGTTCATTTATGTTAATGCATCTGAATTGTTTGAAGGTGAGAGGAATAATGCACTTAAAAATAACATCTTGATGTCTAAAATTAAAAATTATTAATGAATATATCTGAAAAAAAATTACCTTTTCCTTTAAAAATATTACATAGTTGTATCCAGTCTCTTAAAAATATTAATTGTATCCAGTTCTCCTTTCTACAAGCAAGCTTCCGACTTGTTCCTAGCCCCCTCATATTTTCAGCAGAGAGCTTAAGAAATCTGAATTGCAACTCTCGGTTTAGAGATTTCTGAAACACTAAGTTTTGAGTAAGCTTTTTTGAAAGCTTCATCGAATAATCTGTTTTTTCTTGAATTAGCATGTTGGCTAGCTGTTGTGTTTGGGTTTGTGGGTGGGGGTTTTGTTTGTGTTTTTTTTAAAGCAATGATAAACAATACCTTTTACAAAAGAGGAGGCAAAAACCTCACAATGTCCAATAAGAAGACTTTTCCAGTGTGAGAGCAGTAACGGGAGCATCAAAACTTGAATTACAATTCTTATTTTCCTCTCTCTCTTACTTCAAACTCTGAACCGGATTCAACAGATACAAAGCTGTCTTCTGAAATCAGCTGACAAAACCTGTATTGCATCTGCTGAATGTTACAAGTGTTACTGAGTTGTAGTAGGCTTTGATGGTTCATGTTATGGAAATCTTCAACTGGTGCCATTGAGACTTATGGCCATATTGTTTTGTATTGTACAGAACCTACTTGTTAACTGATTATTTTTTCCTGGTATGTTAGATGAGAGGCAGAGTATCAGTTTGTGTTGTATAGAAGCAGTGAGGAGGCGGGAAGAATTCTTACTGGATTGATGTACTATGTGAAGTGAGACATAGGGAAAAAGATTGAGAGATGTTTGATTGAGCAGTTGTGAAGAGATCAGCTGGAGTTACTGATAAAATAAAAGGACAGAAATTGTGGAAATACAGAGTACTGGGACCTGTCAATAACAAAATGGCTGAGTGATAGGTATACTAGCAAAAATTCTCATCAAGTTCTCATCAAATACAGCAAATGGGAAGGTGGAAAAGGGTTAGAAATAATGGGAACTTTTTTGCCTGTACTAAGCAGAAGACTTAAGTATGAATGTTTAGAGAATATGAAACTTTCTTTTCCCCTCATATCACAGCAGTCAAGAGTGGTATCTTGAAGGAGGAATTTCAAATATATATTCTATGGTAATATGCATGAGATGACCCTTCTCCTGCAGAACTTGTTTCATCTATCTTTCCTCATAGGAATTCCATTATTTTGGGAGTATATTGTTGACTCTTGATATGAGACAAGGCTCAGCATAGTATAACTTCTGTTTTTTAGTCTCATGGTATTCTATCAGTCTTTGGCAGCAAGTTTAGTCTTCTAGCACCTGGTAAAATTCGTAAACCCTTTGTGTATAAGTGAAGGGTTCAGAAGAGGTGTTTGTGAATGGCAAATTAGTCTGTCTTAAGCAAGCATCAGGCAAGAGAGAAATTATTTTAGCAAAACATAAGAAGAAAAAAACCCCGAAAAAGGATTGATGGATACATTAAATAAGAAAGAAGTGTTAAATAGAAATGAGGGAAGTGATGCAGAGAGAAGTAGAGGAAAGATATTTAAACAATGCTGGAAAAAGAAATATTATGCCTTACTAAATAGAAAAAATGGTGTGAAACCAGTAAAAGACAGTAGGAGCAAAGATGTAGATTTTCAAAGCTAGTATTACATACAGACTTGCCCAGTGTGATACTATAAAATGGTGTGTTAAACAGTATACAACTAGTTATGCTTTTTCATTTTCAAGGGGTGTGGGGTTTTTTGTGTGTGTGAGCATAGGTACCTTTGTCCATGACTCATAAGTGTAGTTTTTTGAGTAACAGCTACTGTTTATTTTTCAAGCCTTATTAGATGTTAAAGTATAATTCTAAAATGTTTTACATGTTATTTCCATTTTGAATTCATGTCCATGTGGCTTATGTAGTGGATGCTCCTAATGAGTGAAATAACTGAGGTCACCTACACTTTCTTTTTTTACAGTTTTACTGGGGCACTAATGTCCAATCTTGTTATTGAAACTCTGTACACAGTACCTTGGGGTGTATTAACATGATGCTCTTTCCTTAATGTGCTGTAGTTTACCTTTCATAAATAACTAATCAACACTTCTAGCTTTATTTAATATCCTTTTATATAAACAAAAATTCATTATCCTATAATAAAAGATACCCTTTTACATTTACTGCTGTGGTGCAAAATGTTGTTTCCTTTGCCAGATTAAATAGATTATAAAGTACAGTAAATGTTTTTTTTTGGTAATACTAACAGAAGCATGGCTTTTTATTATTTTGTTTTTTCTTAAACAGCCGTGCATGGAAATATCTATTAAAGTATTTTGAATGATTTAAATCTTAGGAAATATTTCACTCTAGTATAAGTCAAGAGAGAAAGCATTTAATAGTTTTTCTTTGAAGAACCTTAATATCAAAAGAGAGCTGTTATTTGAGCAGTAAGGAAATGTAAGAACATGAAATATTTGTCATAGAAGGATTTAAACTTCAGTATCAGTATAAAGAAATTTAAATTCATTGTGTTACTGTCCATACATTAAAGTATATATTGATGTGATAAACAATTAAAGCAGTATCTGAAATAAAAACTTACCTAGGAGATACTTGATTGAAGCTTTTTCTGTGCTCTGTCAGAATATACTGAGACTCACTCAGCAGATAGGAAGCTTTTTTCTATTTGAAATGCATTGTGCACTCTCGTCTTGTGATTTCTTTTTCCACAGCGTCTTGTTGTTCACTGCTGCTTCGTCTTGTGGTATTGGTTATTTCCAGTTTATTTCCAGGTATCTCCAATATCTGATTTCTTCCACATTCAGCATTTTTGTTTATTCTGCCCTAATCAGGTAACAGAAAAGAACCTGTGAACTTTGCATCTTCCCAACCCTCCCACCTCCCCCCAGAAAAGGAAAAAAAAAAAAAAAAAAAGGCAAATGCACTGACCCCAGTTAACTCAAGTATTCAGCACCCATTTAAAAAATAATTTAAAGATTTAGTATCCAGTAAATTCCATCTGTTTTCTGTAGCTATTCCAACACTGAAAAGTTATTTCCCTACACATTTTTGTAGCCTCCAGGTTTTAGATTTTTGTAGGAAATATGCAGGATCAGTAGATATCAGGTCTTAACTTTTAACCCATGCAATATTATTCTGTGAAGGATGATGAAGGTCTGCCTCTCTCAGCTCCTTATGCTTCTGTCAGACACAGATGTGAAATGCTGCTTTAGAACAGAGGGGAAAAAAAATCCCAAAGGGTGTAGTGTTTTGTCATCTCTTAGGACAGTGAGCACGCATGGCATCAATGAGTAGCATATATGAGCTATTCAAACCAGTCACTGAACTGACAGGATGACGCTTTCATACATAATAGACCCATTAATTATTTCTTCTGATGGACAGCAGTGTCTACTAGAAGATAAAAGCAGCAGATGATAATACTACATTTGATAGGTTCTCTGTGTTTGAACAGCTTGTCATCAATAAATGAATCCAGGAAAAAAATGCTGTTTTGGGATAGAATCAGGTGAAATGGACCAGAGTTGTTTTGACATGGTAGATGTCACGTATAGGGTTAAAAATTCCTTTCAGGATAAGGTCTATTCATAGCTAGCTCTTAATCAGAAAGATGTTCCAAAAGATTTGCTTTAAAAATCGTGGTTTGTGTTTTTGCTTCATCTAGCCTTTCATTTGGGGAACCTGGCTGTAGTGGCTTTTCATTTATAACTTAATGTGCAGATTAATCCTACACGTTCATCACGTTCATGGGGTGTTGGGGTTTTTTCTTCTTTTTTTTTTTTTTCTCCTACAAAAAGAAACCTTAATGTTTTTAAAAAAATGTTTTTCAAAGGACTTTATTTATGAAGATGATGTTCAAACTCATCACACACTTTGTATCAAACAAAGGCTTCCTGACTCACAAATCTGTTTTGAATTAATTTAGAAATTTAAAGTCTGATTTAATGTTAATGAAACGCTTTCTTGAGGTTAATATGTAGGAAATAATATATATTGAAAAACTCACTTTAATGTAGTATAAACCTGTCATAAATCTGTCCTAAAATATGATGGGTAAAATATTCATTCACTGTAGCAATGTTGTTAGGTGCAATGTTTACTGATTGTGGGGGAAATAATGCAACATTTGGAACTTTTCCTCAGAATATAGTTTCATTTTTTTCCCCTTGGAAGATTATTTACTGTAACTTTTCTTTTGAAATTATTGACAAGCAAATGTTTACCATCAGTTTGTTTCTTTTCTTTTTTGCCTTCCAAATGTTGAAGGTGAAGTAGAGATAAAACGATGAGAAAAAAAAAAAAAGAGACTATTTACTTTAGAACTGGGGTAAAATATGAACCACACCAAAAAGATGGTGAGACAAGAGGCTACTTCTACAGGTTTGTACTTGTTTACTGTAAGTATGAAGAATCTCTCTCTTAATTTGCCCTAGTCTTGTTTCATTGAAACAGCAAAGTTAACTTCATCTTCCTTGTTATGAAATGATGGAGAGCATCTGGATAAAGCTTTTCTGGTTTATCCAGTCAATAATGATGAGCGCAGATATGCCCTTATATCACATAAAATAACTTCTGGAATACCTTTGGTCTCTAGCTTGCATCCTGTCTAGCTCCAGACCAAATCCAAGCCTAGTAGCATGATGGCTGTGACTTTAAATTTAAGTTGTCAATCTTGTCTCCTTAGATAAAGAGTTGAGTTGCCAGGGATACAATGGGTACATGATGTAAAGTCCATGCTGAAAGTACTGGAATGAGGCATACTTTCTGAAATAATATTAACACTTCTGTCTCAGGATTTCTGTCCTCAAGCATACTAATGCATGTCTGGAGTTAGTAGCCTAACCTGAACTGAAAATGTCCTAAATTTATTAGGATATTTCATAAAGGTGCTGATTTATACAAAACCCTTCCAAGTAACTGGAATCTGACAAGGCACAATCTTTGTGTGTGCAGCAATAAGATAACTTTATATGGTTTGTATTCTTAGATAACCTTTGAGTAGACAAAGAACAAACAGGAGCCCCAGTTTGCTTCCCCCTTGTAAATCCCAAAACAGGGCACTGAAATATCCACTCTGTGATTATCCCCAAAAGAAGTCCAGAAGCACAAAATAATTGAACTGGTTTTTATACATGTGTGTGTGCAACCACACACATACATATATATGTATAAAATCCACCTTTTTTTCCTCTTCAGAACTAGATAAGCTGAGCTATTTGTATGTTAGTATCAAAAGTACACTGCTGTTTCATGCCCGGAAATGAGGGTAAACTTGCATAAAGCATCATGTTAAAGTTTAGGGGATGAGAATGATCCTGACATCTTGGTGTGCAGTCTCAGTCTAAGATAAAGAGATGATTGGTGTTAGGAATCCAAACAGAAGCTGGTTAAAGTTTTCAACCTTGAATATAGCACAAGGAAGAGGAATTCTATTTTTAGCATGGTGTTGTGAAAATCTTTTCTGTTTGGTCAAGCTTCAACAGGAATAAGCTATATATATAAAGCTGCATAAATAAAGGGGATAAATAACATCTACAGTGGAGAATGTTGCTGGGATGTCTGAGGTAGCAAAAGTTTCAAGCATGCATGACTATAAACTCTGTTGGGCCTGTAGTCTGTCTTGTGACTGTTTGTCCACTATGTGACAGTCAGTGTTGTAGCATGTGATTAATTCTTGCAGAGTTGGTTGTCTTGCACTCACAGAATGACATGATGAGGTATTCCACATCTGTAAATAATGTCAGTTACATGAAGTTGCTCATACCTCTAAACAGGAGTAAGAAATCACAGGGGGCTGGTGACATCACTCTGCTTCGTTTCATTTGGTTCACAGGCATGTTGTTTTCTGCATTACTTTCTGATAACAGAAAAGTTAATTTGTAGCGAAAAAAAAGTCCTGTACATCTTCAATAGACTTCTGTTTCAATTCCCTCTGTCTTTTGAGTGGCATTATGCATGTACATGTTATGTCCAAAAACCTCGAAATAACGGCTGTGTGGCTTTGGTGAACAATGTATTGAAACTGCATCTGAAAATTAGATCTCGGGTGAATAATGTACTTACCTGTTTTAAGAAGATCCTTTTTTTAAAAGTTGCATAACAAGTGAGCACAGAAGTCAGCTTTCTTTGAAAGTGTTTTACATTTTAATTGCGTGACCATTCGAGGTGAAAGCTCACTGAAATTTCATTGCAATCTCAGTGAGATTTGATATTTACAGTATCAAAACTGATAGCTTTGCAAATAATATTAAACCATGTACTACTGTCTGTGTTAGTCCTTTCATGATTAATAATTATGGAATCTTCAAGTCTAAAAGGCGAAGTGTTACCCCTACAGTGTGAAAGTAATTTGTCAAGTATGTCGGGAAAAACATTTTTCTAGTAAAACTGAGCGATCAGTAAAGCCATATCTCAGTGAAATGTTTCTACAAATTATAAATGTGTAAGATAAGCACTAATGGTAGTACTACAAATAAATTTGAAAAAAATTAAAGGAAGGTATAGTGTTAGAGAACACTTCTGAGCATTTTCTTTTTGAGAATTTTATCAAGTATTTTATCATTCAACAAACAGCTATGCACATGGAAATCCCATTTTTATTTTTTTCTAAATGTTGTCATTCAACTGCTGTAGATCTGTATCATTACTTGTTTCAAGTGAGTTGATAACTGTAGTGGTCGCTTTTCAGAGGTAAGCAGTGTATTTATCAGAATTTTTAAATTGCTGAAAAGCTAATGTTCTAAAGAAAATGTCATTGTTATTGCTCCTTTTGTTGCCTGCAAGTAGTTCTTGCTTTTGTGAACAAAATTATTTTCCTTGAGCCTTATTCTTTTTTCACTTTCTTTTGGGGAGGTGGAGGAGGGAAGGGTTTTGTTGTGACCTCGTATCCATAATTATTTGTTATTGCAGATTAAATCATTCTGTTTTGTCAGTGGAATATGTGATTATCTTCCAGCTAAATTAAATTCATCTGCAAAGCTGTAATTTTCAGTGATCAATATAGAATACATTGTACATTTCTTAAAAAAAAAAAATAATCAATGTCTATATAAATGAAACAGCCTTCAAAGTTTAAAATTTTGCAATCAATCAGATAATTAACACTGAGTAATTTTTTTACTTAAAAACATGACAGCTGGAATCTTAAAATTATTTTGTGTTTAACAGGAATATCTGCTAGCCCTCAATGAAGAGAGATACTTTTGTATTTCTTAAAATGAGACTATTCCTCATAGAACGGGTCTCTCTGTAGTCTGAAAACTGGTTTAGAACAAACTCAAAGGAGAGATGGAGTGAGATAGCTTAGAAGAAAAGGAGTATTTGTTACCTAGGAAATGAGTGAATATAAGTACTTAGCACAACTCTTATCGCGTCAGATATCTGGGGCTTTTTGTGTTTCCTGGATTTTAGTTATGGCAGTCAAGTTTAGACTTGAGACAAAGTAGCTTTAATATGAAATCCTTTGAGAAGACAGACAAATAATTTGTTTCCCACTTTTCTAGTAGGAAGTGTTGCTAGTAGATGTATTTGGACAGAATGCTTTAACAAAAATGTATAATAAAGATGATTTAACATTTTTCTAGGACTGTTGGTGTCTAATATTGTTGGAAATTTTATTCAGTGAAATTTTACTATAATAATACTTGCAGTTAAACTAGAAAATGTTCTTTGAGAAGGGTAACTAGTGTGCTGGCACAGGTTTTAATAAGTTTTACAAATTATATTTTGTGCATTTTTTTGTGTATTAAAATGGGACTGCTTTGCTGTGTTTTTTTTTTCCCACTGTTTTATTATTGGAAACACCCAAAGATATCTGCTTTTGTCTAACAGTATCAGGAAGGATAAGTAATGACTGTTTCACAAATGTATGAGCTTCAATTATATTTTTAATCACGTTTTAATTAATGAATCAGTATTTGTGAATGTAC